CTCATGACCACTCCCAATCGTTCTCTTCGTCAATCTGTCCTGAAAGACACAGTGAGTAGGAAAGAATGTTATGCTATAATTTAAATTTTTTGTAAGCTTAGAAACATATAAGAGGTTGGAAGCAAGATTGGGAACATGTAGAACAGATTTAAGAGAGAGATCCTTGCTTAGGTCAACCTCCCCTTTCCCAGAGATGGTGGAGAGGGAACCATCAGCAACTCTCATTTTTTCTTGGCCAAACATCAAATGATAAGAAGAAAATAAAGAAGACATGTGTGTCATGTGGTCAGTAGCACCGGAGTCAATAATCCAAGAATTGGACACTATAGGACTAGTCACATTGTGAGCAGAGACAATACCTGATCTGGCAAGAGAGGTGGAGGAAAGGGAATTGTTTCTTAGACGAGCCATGGCTCGGCTAAGGATTTCTACCTCATCAGCAGTGAAATCAAAGGACCCTGATGTGCGGAAATTAGTAGTTTGTCCCATAGGAGGAGGTGCAACTGTAGGTGTGTTCTTTGGGCTTTCACCATTGTTACTTATGACAACATTCCCACTTGCTATTTGACTCTTCTGAGGCTTCTTGTCTTTCCTTAATGCAGCTGGTTTCAGATGAATAAAGAATCCAGCAAGTCTCTTTCAAATGTCTATCACCTCCTCAATGAGAGCACTTGAGATGCCTCTTGTCTGAATGCTTGCCCCCTTTTTGGGTTGAAGAAATCAAGGCTGAATGCTCAACAGGCTGTACTTGGGTGTCAACTCTTCAGTCCTTACAAGATAGTAAACATAATGTAAGTCTGGAATTTCACCCCTTCCCAAGATTTGGGATCTTATGCTCTCATACATCGGGTCTAGGCCAACCAAGAACTTAAAAGCTCTGCCTTCTTCAATTTGTTTATCATGCCTCTCCTTATCTCTTGTATTTTCCAAATCAAGTACAAGGTGGTGGTCAAGTTCTTCCCATAGTCCTTCTAAAGTTGCAAAGTAAGTTGCAACAAACATATCCCCTTGTCTCAATGCAACAATATCTTGGGTTAGCCTATAAATTCTTGCATTGTTCTTTCGCTGTCCATAGGTTTTAGATACCTTCTCCCAAATCTTAGAGGTAGTAGGGAAGTGTTGAACAGTCCTAGCCACTCTTGGAGTCACTGAGGCAAGCAGCCAGGACATAGCAGTAGCATTTTCCTTACGCTAGATTGAGTAATCAGCACCATCCTCTTTAGGTTCTTTCTTCTGTCCATCTAAATAACCCATAAGTTCCCGAGAAGTAATGAAAAGTTTGGCTGAAACGGACAATTCTCTGAAGTTGTATTCATCTAACAACACACTAGTGATCTGCAAGCTATGCAGATTTGGGTTTTCCAAGTTTGAAGACCTCCCACCAGTCCTATTATCCTTAGAAGTCACTTCTCCTGATATTGAAGACATATTCTTCCTCTTACAGTAACCACAGCTCTAATCTCAACAAGAGGAACAAAATTTCAGATTTACCGGGGCTGTTACTAGGCTGAAAACACCCTCTGTAACTGGGCTGAGAGCAGTTTCAAAGGTCAAAAAACACCACTTCTGGAAGTTGAATCTGGGCTGTGACCACCCCCTGCGAATGGCTACTAACTACTTGGAACCACTAGTAGCTGAATGGCTACTAACTGCTGCAGAACCACTAGTAGGGCATAAACTTCTGGGAAAAACTCCCCTTGGTTCCTACAGCCAAGAGAAACCCTAGACACAGACCTTTCTGTTGTCTACGATCAGTCCTAGGGCTTCTTCACAGTAGCAGAGATAAGAGAAAAGAAAAAAGGAACAGAGAAGAAGGAAAGAAGAAAGAAACTTGCTGCAATCAGTCAGGCCGAATGGAGCTCTGATACCATGTTTGCTGAAGTACAACAGTAGAAGAGGAGGAAGAAGAGAAGAGAAAAGAAGTTTGAGAATGGGCGGCAATACTATCTCAGCCGGCCCTAGAAGCTATTATGTATATTTACAATAAGAAGTTACAGAAATAGGCTAGAATACCCCTGATTAGTGATGGGACACCTAGACATAAAGAAGTAAAATAAAACAGGTTTAGGCCCAATAACTAAAGGCCCATAACAGACTAAAGAACTTAAACATCAAAGATAAATTAAGCCCACCAACACTTAACCACTCGAACCAACAGTTCTGATTAGTCCGATTAGGGTTTCTTGTCCTCACTGTCCAAGAAATCAGAAGCCTAGGTTGAATGGATACGATTCAGAAGAAAAAACGACTCCCATTGCCCAGAGTTGTGATCTAATAACATGTTTTCTTACAAGAAGAGAGAGATAAGAGAGAGGAGAGAAGAGAGGAGAAGAGAAGAGGGAGAAAGATGTTTGATATTCAAAAGATTGGGCTGGCGGTGCCCAGCTTCTAATTTATAATAATATGATGTAAGAAATAAAAGATAACGAAATTACAAGTAGGTCCCTGGTGGCACACCCTAAAAATAAAACTTAAATAAGAGAAAAGAATATGTTGACAGTAGCCTAGGCTGGCAGCATTCTGACAGCAGAAATAAAACAATTAAATCCAACAACCCCAAAACCCTCTCACAATCTAACTCTAGTATCTATTATCATATGTGGGATATCACCCCTGATTTCTGACATGTCAGACACGTCTTGACAGAACTCCCGTGCCTAGTACTTTCCAGAATATCTTGTGAACAGAAAATTCACTTCTATCTTCTTATGTTAAATTTGGTCACCTGTTGTTGTTTTAATTCTAAACCCCTTACAATCTAATCTATGGTATTTTATTTTTTTGAATATGTGGGGCATCGTTCCTTATAGATTTCTGGAGTGTCAGACACTCGTTTTTTTTTTTGATGAATGAGAGTGTCAGACACTCGTTGACACTACTCCTATCTCAAAATGTGGATAGAAGGTGTGCTATTTGTAGTTTAGTTGTGATAGACTGCATTTTTCTTTTCTTTAATTTTGTAAAATATAACTTGGACCTTAATATCTAACTTGGAAGCATGGACCTTCGCATAAAATAGTGGTGTTATTTACTATGGTGAAAATGATTTTCCATATGAGGTGATAATGGTCTTCTATACCATGCAATTCAGCTGTCAAAAGCACTTGCCTCCTTGGCCTTTCCAAATAAACAACTTTATGCTTCCAAGTACCGATACACCCCCTGACCTATTTTTGATAAAAAAGCTAAAAAAATTAATGAGCACAAGGTTCAAAGTACTGATACACCCCTTGCGCCGGGGTGTATTGACACTTTGAACCTTGTATGCTTCAAGGACAATGATTTGGATTGAGAAATCTGTTCTCCTCTCCCATTCCTTCATATCATGAAGTCAGCTAGCTATTATGCACTAAATGTTTATGCTCCTCCATCTTGCAACTTTATTCTCCTATACTATACCATTCATCTGTCAAAAACACTTGCCTCCTTGGCCTTCCAAATCAACAACTTCACGCTTCAAGTGCAATGATGTTAAATGTAATGAATTGAGAAATCTGTTCTCCATTCCCATCATCTCATGTCATAAAGAAGTTAGTTAGCCATTACAGACCAAAAGTTTATGCTCCTCCTCCTTGCACAGTTACATGCATGTTACAATCAATCTTATAGGTAAGACGGTACCATAGAAATCTAGAATGTCTCTAAGATGTCCCTGGGCTCAAAGCTTCTAGAAAAGTCCTAAGTGGTTTAGTCTGGAATATCTGGAGAAGGCTCCAGCTGGTTTCTAGCCACTGGATTTGTTAGGCATGGTTTTATCTGGATCATTTTTTGAAGAGTAAATAAAAAAAATTATTAAAAGAAAAAAAAAGTTACAAGTAGGAGGTGGCAAGAAGGCACCTCAACACTAGAAAACAGCAAGAGACCAACAAAACACCAATACAGACAAGCAAAATACTGAATACAAATCTGCAGAACAAACACAATCCACCAATGCTGTACTGAACATCAGCTCTTTTCAAACTCTGAGGACGCTAGAGTCCAATTGGAGATGCAATGCCCAATCAAAGCCAGAGTTACTCAAAGGAATTGAAACACCTCCTGTTCCTCAAAGGAATTTAATCCAGACCATCCATTATAATAGTTTCTTTACATAAGGTGGGGCATACAGAAATTTCTAAAAATTGCAGGCTTTTAAGATCTATGGCTTCTATAGCAATGGAACTTTTCCTCCAGTCTCATGTGTGTTCTCTCTCATTCCCATGAAGTATCTAGCAATAGCTTCTAGGAGTTTAGCTTACTTATTTAAGTAGGGTATGAATGCAAGTGCTACATTGTAGAAGACTTGGAAAGCTCCAACTTTGACAGTGAGCCTAATATTCTCAAATTTACTTTGTAGGCTTGACATGGTTGAACCTTTTATTAGGGTTTCAGAAATAAAAAAGAACAAGATAATTATAAGACTTTGTTAAAATGGCATTCTTACTCTTACAAAAATCTGGGGTTCAGTTAAGAAACACTGATTGGTTTGAGATGAAATTATAGATATGGTGATATACACAGATGAGAATGCATTTTATTAATGCCCTTACAATGGGTATTAGATATTTTGCAAGAGCATTATAGATGAGCCATTGCTTCTTTGGATTCAATTTTTGAAGTAAAAACCAGAAGTAATTATAGTTATAGAATCATATGGTGAAGAGGACTACAACCATTTCCACTCATGGAAAATATCATGTCTTATGAGCTTTATTGGTTTGGCTATTTCTGTACTTTGAGATGATGTTAACTGAATTTAGCATTCAATTGATAGGAGGCTTTCTAACTTTTTCCTTCATAGTTCTGGAGATCCATAGCTTGTTTTGGAAAGTTCAATTTATTTTTTTAGCATAAGGCGCTTCATGCTTAATTCAGTAATTGGATGTAATTTAAAGAAGTGGCATGCTACTGAATTGTTTTTGATGTTGCTTTTCTGATATGGTTACCGGAAATTTGTCATGCCATATTAATAAAGATGGTGAAGATGCTTTATTTATACTTGCTTTTCTCTTTTAAAATAGGTTAACTCAAGAGTTGGATTCAACTCAGAATCCAGAGGGCTTCCTTCCCTTGGAGAGGAGATGGAATTGAATGAAGAGAATGCAGACTCAGCCATTGGAATTGATGGCTCATCCTATACTTCAGAAAATTTATATGCTGAAAAGCATGATACCTCTAGCACACATGAAATGGATAACATAAAGAGTACAACATCTGCTGATTTATGTGGACCTCCCTTTGATCAAAGCCCTCAGCCTGAGAGAGGGGACCAATCTGATAATCAAGACTTGGCACAGAGGAGCAGTAACTGGGTTCATGGCTGGAATCCAGACTATTCTATGGATAATGACTTGGCAAATGATTACGAAGAGAATAATAGACTCAGAGGAAGTCTAAAGGTGGCTGAATCTTCTATCTTAGAGCTTAAGCAGGAAATAACCTCTTTACAAAGTCATGCTGATGAATTTGGTGCTGAAACACAAAAGTTTTCCCAGCAACTTGCTGCTGAGATTGCTTCAGGAGAAAAGTTGGCTAAAGAAGTTTCTATTCTGAAATTAGAGTGTTTGAAGTTAAAAGATGACTTTGAACAACTAAAACATTCTGGATTAGATTCTCATCTTACAAAGAAGGAAGTGATTGAGAAAGACTGGGAGAGCTTATACCAGGACCTACAGGTCAGATGGTCGAAGGGTCTTTTGATTATGGAGGATAAAGTAAGGGAACTCCAAAACAAGGCATGCCTCAGATGTCATGAGAGGGACTTCAGGTTCCTTCACTCTGATTTTCAGGCACTTCAATGCATCTTGCAGGACCTTAGACAAGGAACAACAGAGGTAATTTCTGTATTGGGTATAGTACCAGGTGAAAGAGCTGATGTAAAGGAGATTGAACCAATAAGCATACAGAAACATGAACAATCTGTTCCGGGGGAAAAGTTGGATGGCTTTGGTTTAGATCAGTATCGTTCTGAAGATATACCTTGTTGCCTAAGAAGGCCAATGGAGTTTCCTGAGGAGCATGATACCATTGATTCCATCCCTGTGTTGAAAGGCAAAATTTCTGATCTTCTTAGGGAGTTGGAAGAATCCAAGGCTGAAAGAGAAAACCTCACAACAAAAATGGACCAGATGGAATGCTACTATGAAGCTCTAGTCCAGGAGCTTGAGGAGAGTCAGAAGCAGATGCTGGGAGAGCTGCAGAGCCTCAGGAATGAGCATGCCAGTTGCTTGTATACAATTTCTTCTTGCAAAGCTCAGATGGAAGTGATGCACCAAGACATGAATGAACAGTTCTTAAGATCTGCTGAGGACAGGCATAACTTAGAATCCCTGAATAAGGAACTTGAGAGAAGGGCTATCACCTCAGAAACAGCACTGAAAAGAGCTCGTTGGAGTTATTCTACTGCAGTGGATCAATTGCAGAAGGACCTTGAGCTTCTTTCTTACCAAGTGTTATCCATGTTTGAGACTAATGAGAACCTGATTAGTCAAGCTTTTGCAGAATCTTCCCAACCATGTTTTGAGGAGTTTCTGGAAACTGGGCAGCGGGCCAATGCATTATTGCAGGAGCAGTATAAAACAGGTGTGCAACGAAGTCAAGGAATGGTACATATATCTCAGAAAGCTGAGAAAGAGTTGGCTTTGGGTCAAGTGCCTCCATTTCACAATGTTCTTGTGGAAGACGAGAAGAGTTTTTCATTACATGCTAATATAGTTGGAGAGGTGCAGAGAAGCTCAGATGCTCTGGATTCCTTCAGTTGTCCAAAGACTGAACATCCTCTGACCAAGCTTAGTTGTGAGGAATCTTATTCTGCTGAACTTTTTCAGTGCCAGAACCAGAATGCAGAGCTAGAGAAACAACTCTTGGATGGAGAGATTCTTTTCAAGGACTTGAGAAGGTCACTTCACTTGCAAGAAGAGCTCTATCGGAAGGCTGAGTTTGAACTTTACGAAATGCATGTTGCAAACATACATTTGGATGTCTACTCAAAAGTTCTGCAAGAAGCATTGCATGAAGCATGTAGTGGCATTACACTCATGAAAGAGAGAATGGATGCATTGGCAGAACAGCTTGACAAATCAACTCAATCAAAGGAGTTATTGATGCTTAGACTGCAGAGTGCATTGGATGATGTGAAATCACTGAATGAGTGCAAGCTAAATTGCATTGCCAAGTGTGATGACTTAGGCTTGCAAAATAACATTCTTGAAGCAAAACTGGAATCTATTTCCAATGAGAACTTTCTTCTTTCTGAAAAGATTGCAGAATGTGAAAAGTTAATGGTGGAATACGGAAGCTACAAGAACAAATATATCACTTGCTCTGCAGAAAAAACAGAACTTGCTAATTTACTGAAACAGGAAACCGTGGAAAAGTATAATCTTCAGAATGAAGTTAGCACTGTGCATGCAGAGTTGAAAACCATAAAGTCCAAATTTGATAAACTGGGCTCTGAGAGGGATAATCTGGAGATAACCATCAATTTTCTGCAAGATAAGTTGAGAAGTTTGATGTCAACCATGTTATCTTACAATGAACAGCTTAATGGACAGACTATTCAAGGTAAATCACTGCAACAAGAGTTGGAGAACAATGACTTCATCAATATTATCTTGCATTTGGACGAGCTTCAAAAGAAAACATACGAAACAATTCTTCAGCTCATCCAAGATAAGAAGGATCTAGAGGAAGAAAGAGACATTGCTCAAAGGTCACTAAACCAGAAAGATTCAGATATCCTGATCATGAAACAGAAATTTGAATTAGATATCCAGGACATGGTGACGAAATTAGATTTGTCCAATCTCAATGTTGAAAATCTTCAGCTTCAATTCAAAGATATTGCTAATAAACTTGAGGTTAGTTCAGGATCTGAAGAAAAATATGCTGCAGAGAACAGGGACCTTTCATCAAAAATTGCTGATTTGGAAATTCAGCTGGAACATGTTACTACTGAAAACAAGAATCTTGTGACAAAGATTCTTAAGCTTAGCCAAGAGAAGCAAGATGCAGAAGCAGAAAAAGACATTACTCGAGAGTCACTAGGCAGCAAAGAGTCAGAAATTCTGAATATGAAAAAGAAGTTTGGATCTGATGTACAAGACATGGTGATGAAACTACATTTGTCCAATGCTCATGTGGACAAGCTTCAGCTTGAACTTGAAGATACCATTAACAAACTCAATATTAGTTCTCAGGCTGAAGAAAAATATGCAGAGCAGAACAGAGGACTCGTATCAAAAATTGAAAGTTTGGAAATTCAGTTAGAACATGTCAGTACTGAAAACGGGAACCTTGAAACTAAAATTCTTCAGGTAAGCCAAGAGAAGAAGGATGCTGAGGAAGGAAGAGACATTGCTCAAAGGTCACTAAGTGCCAAAGATTCTGAACTTATGATTATGAGAAAGAAGTTAGAGTTTGAAGTACAAGATATGTTATCAAAACTACATTTATCTAATGCCCTTGCAGAAGAGCTTCAGCTTGAACTTGATACTTCTAGACAACTCAAAGTCAATTCAGTGGCTGAAGAAAAATATGCAGAGCAGAACAGAGGACTCGTATCAAAAATTGAAGATTTGGAAATTCAGCTGGAATGTGTTAAAAGTGAAAACAGGAATCTTGTAACAAAGATTTTTCAGCTCAACCAAGAGAAGGATGCAGAGGAAGAGAGAGACATTGTTCGAGGGTTGTTAAGCTGCAAAGATTCAGAAATTCTGATAATAAAACAGAAGTTTGAATCTGATGTACAAGACATGGTATCAAAATTAGATATGTTTAATGCCCATGTTGAAAATCTGCAGCTTCAACTAGAACATATTGCTAATAAACTAAACATTAATTCAGGAGCGGAAGAAAAATATTCAGAGCAGAGCAGAGAACTCTTATCAAAATTTGCAGATTTGGAAATTCAGCTGGAACATGTTGCTAGTGAAAATAGGAATCTTGCAAGAAAGATCCTGGTCTTTGAGAGCACTGCAGAGTCTGAAATTTTTATGATGAGACAAAAGTTTGAAGCTGATGTACAAGATATGGTCACTAAACTAGGTTTGTCTGATGCTCATTTAGAAAAGCTTCAGCTAGCACTAGAAGATATTTCCAAGAAACTTAAGGTTAGCTCAATAGCTGATGAAAAGTTTGCGGAACAGAATAATGAGCTCCTATCAAAATTTGCAATGATGGAAGTGGAGCTGCAACAGGTTACTGCTGACTACAGAAGCATTGTTCAAAGGGCGTTGGTTTTGGAGAGCATAAATGAGGAACTTGAAAGGACTAAATTGATTATCACTGAACTGAAGCAGGAAAACCAAACTTTGATCATGTCTTTACAGTCTAGTAACGAGGATTGTGTCAAGCTGGGTGTTGAGCTTAGTACTGTAAAAGAAAGTTTAAGAAGTGTACAAGATAAATTGCATGTTGAGAGAGGCCTCAGAGCTGAATTGGAGGCTACAGTTATGGATCTTACCTCCCAGTTGAAAGAGAACCATGACCAGCTGTTCTCATTTAATGAGCAGAAAGCTGAGCTGATCCAAATCAAGCAACTAGTATCAGATCTGGAACTAGAAAAATCAAGAGTCTGCCATCGTTTATTTACCAGCGAGGAATTTGCTTCATCGCTTCAACTCCAAGTTATAGATTTGGAAAACCACTTGACAGAGATGCATGAATGTTTATTAGCTGCAGATCTCAAATCCATTTTCACAAGAAATCAGTTCCAAACTAGGATGGAGGAGCTTGCTCAACAAGTTCTGTCTTTGGATGCTTGCCATGAGGAGCTTTTTATGAAGCACTTTGATGTGCTTGCTGCTCTGAATAAACATGTTGCTAGTGAAGCACAATGTGTTGAAGAAAATGCAAGATTGCTGACAACTGTCAACTCAATGAAATCTGAGTTGGAAGACTCTGCTTTTGAGAAAAGGACACTTAAGGATGAAAACAGAGCTTTGCTTATTGAACTTGAGAAGTGTAAGACTGAGGCAGCAATTGCAAAAATTAGTGATATTGAAGATATCCATTGGTATAAGATTGAGGTTGAACAGTTGAAATGCATGCTGGTGAATTCTGAAGAAGAGATTGATAATCTAACTGCCTCAAGGTATGAACTCGAAATTGCAATTATTGCACTTAGAGCCAAATTAGATGAGCAACATGGTCAGATATCCTTACTTGAGGAATATGGTAATGAAGTGACAATGCTACGGAACAAATGCAATGAGCTTGCACATAAGCTCTCTGAACAAATTTTGAGGGCAGAAGAGTTCAAGAACCTGTCAATTCATTTGAAAGAGCTTAAAGATCAGGTTGACACAGAGTCTCTCCAAGCTCGTGAAAAAAGAGAAACTGAAGCATCTTCAATTGCTGCACAAGAGTCCTTGAGAATTGCTTTTATTAGAGAACAATGTGAGACAAAGCTGCAAGAACTGAAAAGCCAGCTTTATATTTCCAAAAAGCATGGGGAGGAGATGCTGTTGAAATTGCAGGATGCTCTTGATGAGGTGGAGACTCGGAAGAAAAGTGAAGTCTTTCATATAAAGAGAAATGAGGAGCTGTCACTGAAGATCTTGGAATTGGAGACTGAGTTGAAGATAGTAATCTCTGATAAGCGAGAAAAAGTCAAGGCTTATGACGAAATGAAGGCTGAACTAGAATGCTCATTAATAAGCCTTGACTGTTGCAAAGAAGAAAAAGAAAAGGTTGAAGCTTCTTTACAAGAATGTAACGAGGAAAGAACTAGAATTGCTGTTGAGCTTAGATTAATGAAAGAACAGATGGAGAATTCTGTTTCTTGTATAAATGCTCAAGAAGGAAATTTTGGTTTAGGTACTCCAAGACACATGATCACTGAGCAAGTTACAGAAAAGTTTCAACAAGAACCACCAGTTGCAGGTATTCTGAGCTATGAGAGGGATGCAATAGACATGTTTCCTGCAAATGAGAAAACCAGGAGCCATCACCCAAAATCCTCAGACAAAAATAGCCTGTTTCCTTGTGAACAAGTAGAAGATTCATGTACGGTTCCCAGTGATGAAAGTAATCATTCAAGTGAGCAGATGAAATTGCCAACTGTTCAGGTAAATACTTATTTTTCATGATGGCTCTTTGGTTGATGAATTGCCTTGGCTAGCCTTGGATGGTTCTTTTAAGTATTTATTTACTTTTTTTTTAAATTTTTTACTTCTTCCTCTTTAAGGACATCTAAGGCAGCATTGTTGCGAATCATGGAAAATTGGTTTATAGCCTCATGGGTTGTCACATTGTTTGTTTGTTTTTTTTTATTTGATCAGTAACATAAAATTTATTAATTAATTGAAAAGTGAACAGGTACAACAAGGGTAGCCTTGGTTACCCCTGGTAAACAACACCACTGTGATACCAAGAAACCTTTTGTTTTTGGTCCAACCTGGGTGATCTCACAGTCCAATCATATGATGAAAGCATCTTGTTTGCAGACATTGTCTTCAACTGTGTGCTTCAACACTTTTATTTGTGAGCAAGATGGATAAATATATGTAACGATAATGATCAACCAATTTGGGTTAATATATGATATGGGAGATCTCCTAGGTGGGTAGGGATGATAATCCCTGAATTCTACATGAAAGTCTTTAGGGTCTAATGGATGTTATTTTCATGTTAGTTGTTATTAGTTAAAAGTTTGGAAACAATGGATCATCTAAAACCTTGAAGTAGAACAACAAACTTATGGTAGTATAAAGGTGGAATTACTTTATATATTATTTCCTAGATACACATGTCCTGAAAATTCTATGAAGTATGAGATCCACTCAGTGAAAAACATCATTTCTTCAGACATGTAGAAAATGTATCACCTACAAAAAATGTCCATCTTCCAAAGGTTCACTTATTGTCCAATTTTTTGTTAGTCAACTTTTGCTCTTTTATGAGAAACCAACACTTACTGATCTATCAAAAACAAAAGAGAGAAAGGAAAGAAGAAGATGATTATGGAAAGTTTATCTCCCCTCCCTTGTAATTAATTCTGTTTATTATTAATGGAAAGCTACTGTTATTGATCAAAAAAGAAAGAAGAAGATGATTATGTATTAATAGATATACCTGATATAATGAATCATTTGATATACTGTTTATTAAAGAAGCATTTGGTCATTAGTGAACAATTTTCATACAAGGTGATTTAACACGTGCATGTTTCTAGCAATTGCAGCTGTTAGATATAGTTGTAGAACTGCTTCATACCTATTGGTTTGCACCATCCATAGGTTCAGAAATTCTAGCCACCAGTCGTATTATCTTCTGGATTTTGTGATATCTGCTTTCGATAAAGGCCAGCATGATTTCTCTGTGTTTCCCCCATTGTTAGTGGAGATTTAAATATTAAGGTAGTCTTCTCTATATTATTTACCATTTTGAGAATCTATTAAAACATGATTGAATCATTCTTTCTGTGTATAAAATGAGTTCACCTCCCAAAATATTTATGTGTTACTGCTTGACAGGATGGCTCCAAAAGTATGATTGGGCATTCAAGGAAAGTAATTGTAAATGAAGAGGACCTGATTCAAAATAGTGCAATGGGTTTGGCTATTCTAAACGATCATTTCAAAGCCAAAAGTTTAAAGTCTACCATGGATCTCCTACATAAAGAGGTAATTTTTTTTTGGTGTTGTTAATGCAATGGAGATATTCTCTTTAAATCATTTTCTTCCTAGGTTTCCTTCATATAATGTAGGATGATTTATGAGTAAGGAGAAAGGCCATTACCCAATTTTGGCCCCAGCTATCTGGGGTCTTGGGAGGGGCATACTGGATATGGTCCTAATCTTTGGCAAATTTTGGCACAAAGTGACTGCTCCCAGACAACAATCCATTTCTCACACTTGCCAGCCAGAGATTTCACCATTACAAGCATGATTTATGAATAAGGAAGAAACATTAATTCTCTTTTCATATTTGAGAGGGAGATCCAGTCTAAAGCCATGTTGTTTTCATGCAGCTGGAAAGGATGAGGAATGAGAACTTAGCTCCTTTATCAAAAGATGATCATATTGACCCAGATTTTCAGGGGTTACAAAGAGAACTACTGCAACTACAAGAAGTATATGCTCCCCAGCCTCGTACCACTTTCTTGGCTTAAGTGCTTCATTGAAACTTGCAATTCACACCCCTTGTTTTTCCACAGGCAAATGAACAATTAGGGAGCATGTTCCCTTTATTTAATGAAATTTCCGGCAGTGGGAATGCATTAGAAAGAGTACTTGCACTGGAAATTGAGCTTGCAGAAGCATTACAGGCAAAGAAGAAATCAAACCTCCATTTTCAGAGGTAAGTAATCTCTACAGGGGAGAGAACTTGAACTTTTTTTGGCATGCTCACAATTTACAGCTTTTGATACTTAATGGTTTCTCTTTTCTTGTCTTGTTCAATAGACTATCAATGTTTTCTTGTGAGTGGAAACCTTAGCTAGTTATGCTTAATTTGGTAGGAATAGAAAAGTAGTTATTAGGGATCAACATTGCAATGGTTTTACTATGTGAAATTATGCTACAAGTGTTCTCTGAAAGATGTGATTCTAGACCATGGCAATTAATTATTTGGAATGTAAAGATTTGAAGAGGTTTCGAGTTACCTCCCTCTCTTTCCAGCAAGTGTCCTAGGTATTTTCATGTAGAGAAGTGGTAAGGATATGAAAAAGAAATTGTAAAGTATACAAATCCTGCAATCCATCTTACAGCACACATCTGGAATATTGGGTACAGGACCCATAGACAGGGGACCTGCCTTGACTGACCAATGTTTCAGATGTGTGCTTCAAAGTGTATTTGTTGCCCTTGCAAAAAATAAAATAAAATAAAATAAATCCTTATCCTTTTCTTTCATATGTTAGTATATGTTTTGTCAGGCTTCTGATATTGTAAGGTTCCCATTACATGTATGCCAACAAAATTTTTTACTTACAATAACTAAAATTGATCTGAAATTGAAAGCAAATTCCAATAGTTTCCATGCAATTTGAAAGCAAATTGTAAGGTCCTTGTTACATATACGCACACACATACACATTATATGATTGTACCACCTGGTGTGTTAGCAATCACTTTGGTTTACCAGATGTGGCATGTGATGATGGCAACTCAAGATGCAAAGGTATAATGAGAGAGTTCTAGTGGTAGTAGTGGTACAAACCCTTATTTTCAGTCCAACAGGAACTTTGAATATGTGCCTGCAGAAATGTGGTACTAAAGAGAGAGCTTTGGTGTTTCCATTTCTAAATGGATCCAGTTAGCTGAAGTTTTATGTCCTTGTCAACAAACTAGTACCAATTTTAAACCTCTTTTTTATCTTTAAATATTTATCAGTCCTAACAGAAACTCCTTTACATTGCAACGGAAAAAGAGGATAACATATTTCCTATTTTGGGTGGTTCAGCTCCTTCCTGAAACAACACAGGGACGAGGAAGCCATATTTAAAAGCTTCAGAGATATAAACGAGCTGATCAAAGACATGCTGGAACTGAAAGGGAGGTACACATCTGTGGAGTCTGAATTGAAAGAAATGCATGGCCGTTACTCTCAACTAAGCCTTCAGTTTGCAGAAGTGGAAGGAGAGAGACAAAAACTATTGATGACCCTCAAGAACAGAGTTCCCAGGAAGAAATTGCCATTAATCCGTTCCACGTCAGCTAGTCTTGAGGAACACCAGTACTAGCAATGTATACACTTTTCCTGGCTTTTGCCCCAGAAGTTGCCTTTTTTTCTGGCTAGAGATATTCACATGTTCCCTGCTTTTCTGAGATACACCAATGTGCTTCTGAGCGCCTGTAAATAGGACATCACACCTCTAGATGTCAAGGTAGAGTTACAATCTTTCATAATTTCATTATGTAAATAATAAATGCCGCCAAAAAAAACCAATTTTCATGGTTGGTTTCAAAATCAGTTTTAAGATCCCTGTAACATGCTTACTTGTTCATAACTGGGTGTGTAATTCATTCTGATGTATAGTAAATCAAATTCTTTCAGCCATGTCCAAATCTTTTTTCATTTAAAGGGAAGATGACAAGCAGGGTCTCAATAGATTGTTGTTTGTTGTTGTTATTATTTTTATTATTAGGGTAAAAGACTTAAACATACCCTGAGTTTTCATTAATTGACTTAAACATACCCTCCATCAATGAAATGTTAAGTTCATTTAAATCCTATTTTTCCCTTTAACAAATGAACCTTGTTGCCTGTTCACCCATTCTATTATTTGAATTATAATAAGGATGGCCTTCACTATTTTATTTGAAAAATTAGTGGTCAACACTTAGCCTGGCAAACCAATGCATATCCATTGTATATTATGGTATTTGTTGGAGGAACAGGTCATGAAGTCTCTGCATAAACAGACTCCATTTTTCTCACATCGGTGCAGCTGCTCTTTAAACATTCTAGCTCATATAGGACCAAAACCTTTGAATTATTAAATCTTATTCTTTTGAAGATACATCTGCTTCTCATTCCTTGGTACTATATGGATTTGTCATTTCAAATCTTTTTTAGCTTTGTATTTGTATAGCCAATATCTACACTTCTTAAAACATCCAACGTTGGAATTTGTATAGAAAAAATTCAACTTGAACTGAGTGGGGCTCATTAAGCAATCTTTAGATCTGTATTAAAGCCTCACCTACATTCTTGCTAATGATTGGAGGGGGAAAAGTGATATTCTGTATTGTCTTCATTCGTATTTAGATTTATAATACTTTTGGTTCTTTTTGAAAATTTGAGAGAAAATGAAGGGTAAAAGAATATCATTTTTTTTATCAATAACAATGAATTTTATTAATAATTGAGAAATTCAGAATTACAAGGGAATGAGCTAAAGAATCTTAACTCCCTACTATCCAATGTACACCCAAACCATGAAACCATTACAAAATAGCTCAAAAGATAGAGTTTCTATTCACCCCTGCCTAGTTAGACCATTTGCCAATGCATTTGCACTTTTCTTTATCCATGTACACTAAATTTCCATGTCCTTAGTGAGCCACTTGAATTTCCTTTTTTCATTTCTGTATTTCCAAAGCATAAAGTTGTCATCTTTTAGCCAATTCACCACAATTTTAGAATCACCTTCTATGATCAAATTTTTAACATGCATTTCCTTGACCTTTTGTATCCCTTCAAGAACTCCTAGAATCTCAGCCCTCGGGGAATCATCCACCCCAATTGGACCATAATACATAGCTAACAAATTTCCTTTTTCGTCTATTATCACTCCCCCTACTCCGGAGGCCTTGGATTGTCCATGTTGTTGCTATCAAAGTTCAGTTTGGTAAACCAATGAGGTGGAGGTGTCCAACAAGAACTTAAAGTCTTCTTAATTGGAATTGGACCTGCAATCTCCTTCCAATGTCTTATCATCTCATCAATTAAGAACATTATAAACAATTCCAAAGTTTTCAACCAATGTATCACCCTTATTTGGATAGTCTTCAAGATTACTTTCATGCTTCTCTCCTTATTTGAGAATGTCTTTGAGTTTCTCTCCTTCCAAGCAATCCAACACATTGTAGCCCTTGCACATCTCCACATGATCTTGGCCCTTTTGGTTGGCCAATTAGGCATGGAAGTGAATAAGCTTTGCACATTTAAAGGGAGAATCCACCTGCACCCAAACAAGAAGTAAACCATTCCCAAATAACTTTAACAAATTGACAAGAAATTAGTAAATGGTATCTAGACTCATCATCAGATTTGTAGAGGACACACCAGTGATGAGACAAACAACTATTTGGTCTTTTCTTTGAAGTAGATTCCTTGTATTAATTCTTTCCAGAAAGGCTTCCCAATAGAAACTCCCAACCCTTGGAAGTATAGGTTGACACCACACTTCTTTAACAGGGAATGACAATCCAACAGGAGAAGGAGGTAAGAAGGCCTTAAAGAAAGAGCCACAAGTGTAAGAACCCGAGGGAGTGAGTGTCCAAATTCTATTGTCTGTCTTTGATGGCTCAATGAAAACCCTTTCAAGAAAGGATAATAAGGCTAAAATACAGTCTAACTCTGTATCTTTGACATCCCTTTTCAAACCCAGGTTCTAGCTGAAACCAGAAGGTGAATTAGAAGATACAAGGAAAGAGGAAACTGGTTCATTTTTAAGGGTAGAAATAGCAAAGATGCCTAGAAATTGATCTTTCAAAGAGGAATCCCCAACCTAAACTGTTAGACAGTTTTTGTATGCCCTTAGCTTCAATCAGAATGATGTACATTATGAGTTTATTGTAAATGAATAAAGTACATATTTGATTCATGTT